AGTCACCCATTGCACTGATGCCTCTTCATGAGAACTGTAAAATTCAATGCCATTGTTTTGAGTGACTAATTATGACTTCTTCTTTTATGATGACCGATCGATTGCACGCGACGCCCTCAATTGGCACCTGAAAACCGCTTCAAGAATTTCAAGTGGTGAAAATGGAAATTTTGGTTTATGCTGGATTCATCTCCATATTAATCATCAGTGAATGTGAATAATGGAAAATTGGAGCAAATGAGTATATAATGGGAATTCGTGAAGTTTCGATTAATATTTCATCTTCCTCACACGGGGAAAATATAAAATGAAAAATTGCAGTGTGAACATTGTAATTGGAGGACACCGAAATAACTTTAACAGTTAATTTATATTGACGGAATTTTTATTTGTGCTACATTAAATTTTACATTCTACCATTATTCTACCATTTTCTTCTATTCCGACTCGCAATTTTCACTATGTTCAACAATAAATTTCGAGTGTGGCGGGTATAGTCCTCGATTACTATGCTCCCATAGTAAAAAATGATTTTGGAACCAGCAAATGCAAGAAAATGATCGATAAAAGTTGTAAACCATTCTCGGAACGGCTTAGTCCAACCGTCAAAACATCAAATTGTAGTTTAATATTTACGTTATGATAAGCTTGAAATTTTGTTTCCATGAAAATGGATTTATTCATTCAAGTTCTCGTACTCGAATCAAGTTAGGGTATAAATCATGTAGGATAATGCGAAATGTTTTCATTAATACTAAAGTAAAATTCAAAAATACACAATATCGAATAACATGAAATAGTGATGGGGAAACAAAGTTTAGTTACGTGGTGAGCAAGGAGTTCTGTGCTTGAATTATTCGACGACAAATTTGTGGAATAAATGAATAAGACAGGGAATTACTGAGCGTCCCTCGAAGGATGAACGTACGAATTGGCTTATTGAGGAGACTCCACCGAAAGTACACTGAGAAAAAAATCTAATATATGAAACATATTTACTTGGGACAAGTAATTTTTCTTCAATCGCTTAATTCTCCCAGGCATCTCCACTCACGTGGACCGAGAAAGGTCTCATGCTTTAAAATATTCTTGCACTCAACTATGATTTTCTCGCAAATGAACTCATTCAAATCGCGCAGAAGAATATCCACTAAAAATCAGTATTCTGATTCAGTAATTCTTTCACTGAATTACATTTCGCTCCACAATTACCATTCGTATAGGAAAATTTGTCGCGATTTTCGAGGTAATTTCTATCCAACTTTTCTCTCCGTGTAGTTGTCCTCTCATTGCCATATTGGATACTGTAAATGACGTTTATATCTTCATTCACCCATTGCACGGGTGGCTCTTCATTAGGCCACTAAAATCCAACGCTTTTGTTTTGAGTGACTAATTATGAGTTCTTTGTTTACGATTACCGATCTATTGCACGCGGTGCCCTCAATTCCCACCCCCCATTTTTACCGCCAACTCACAATATCAGTCGGTTACGAAGCGCTAACGGGCCCACTACACCGAGCAACTTAATCCTAATTGAGCTTAGTCCGGGAATAGGAGAAGAGAAAACCACCAGACGAAGTGACGGAGAAGGAGAGAGACTGAACGAGAGGAGACGAGCCAGAGGGGTAACATGGTAGTTCAGCTTTACGGGTATGGCAATGTTCCGTGGTAGAGTGTATAATGCCGCTAGCGTTTGGTGAATCGAGTTGGTTCCTCAGATCTTCAAAATCCCTACTTCCTCGAGACTCGGCGTCCTATTGAGGGAGAATATAACCCCGAATCGTCTGTTATCCGCTGGTCTCTTTGTCCAACGCAAATGATATAAAAAGAAGAGGATCACAGCTCTGTGGACTAAAATAAGAGAACCATCACTGGTCAAATCTGTTCAGATTTTAGGGGAAAAAAGGGGAATGCACAGGTGTGCTCATAGAGAACTTTATCGCATGTGTGGAGGGAGGATTGAGAGCACTGGGAAACCCTTGATATTAAAAGAATTGGGGTCATTTTGTATATGCTACTTGGTGGACTTTTTAATAGTATGTTGTGCATCAAGGGCGGAAAGTCATGTTTTCCTCGCTCGAGCGGCACATGCCATTTTTTAACATGCCTGCCAAAAAAAGGAAATTTCGAGTAAGAGAACTGCACCATGAGGCAAAATTGATAGTTGAAGGATGCAAAATTTGAATTTTATCCGTAAGACCATTTGATTTTCATATTTAAGGAAAATAAAAATTATCACAAGGGATTTTCATGCTAATTTTTGTAATAAAATAAAATAATTAATAAAATGATAAAAAATTTAGCCTGTAAAACTTGACACGTTCATTTGTTTACAACGAAGCTTTCGAGAAATATCCGATAATTTTGAAGGTCTGGGGTACTAGAACTGATAATTTCCTCAATTCTAATTTTGGCCGAGCAGATTGCGGTGTTCGGGGTTAAGTGACACTTTCACCACAATGCAGGGAATATTTGTAAAGCTGGGAAAAGTTGAGAGGTTACTGTGGAGTTATTAATTCTCCCGTAGCCCGGTGAATTATCAAAATAAAACTAATGTGAGGGTTCACGGGACTCTGAATGCAGCACTCTAACTTGTAAACAGGATTGAGGAAATTATCGTATGTAATACAGCAAAAGTTTGAAAATCATTAAGTATTTTCCGATAAGTTCGTTTGCATGTAGGGAACTTTGAGGAAAGTACCTGACTAATGTTGAAGCTCAAATGGTATTCGGAAGACAAAATCCATCCGTCAGTTCCAACCAGGGGTTCACTCGACCAGGAAATCTTTTCTTTTCCATATATATATCAACATGAAAAATTACCAGCTGAATTAGAAATTATCAGTTGAATACCGTGTTGACTATATAAAATAACAGTCGAATAGTGCAATTCTATTGGCTGAAATTTGCATGGGAAAAATTCTCTATGCAATTCAGGCTACTCTGCCAATTTTTCTCTTACAGTAAACTGCCGATCGGGAACTTGATTTTTTTTAATTACCCTGAATTTATTTTCTAATCGCCCGACGAAATCGAAGGAATTCTTCTGTTTCGAACTTAACAATTCTCGTTGAAGCTACGAAATTACACTATCCCATACACCACGACAACATGGAGAGCCCATACAAACGTACGTCATGCGTGAAACGCGTGGGAATTGTTCTCGGGTTTCAAACAGAAAGAGTGAAAGAAGTATGCCGTAGAAGCCCCAACAAACACAAAACGTGAATAAAGAGGTTAATAAAAGCATAGCAACAAAGCATTCAAAATGAATTGATGTATTTGTAATTGGTTTCCACTGATAAAATCACATATGTATCAGCCGGCAACTGCATTAACCCACTGATTACAATCATTGGAAATCCCAAGCGTTCCTTTTAATTTGGTTGAATTGAGGTTCCATAACGAAATTGAAACGCATATTTAAAAGAACATTAATGAACAAAATGAAAAAATTCAAAATACGGTACCCCACAGTGGTAAAATAATAAAATTTCGCCCACCGGCTCCCCCTAAGAGCGGTGGTTTCATTCTTCCGATTACACCAGGTGCATAAGAGAGGGAGGAGGGCTTCATAGAAATAGGTAAAAAGTAGTAGAGAGGGAGTGAGAGAGGTAAAGACAAAAGAGTGAACATTGCGGGGAAAAATAATTGCATCGATAGTCCTCTCCGCAACGCGTTGGAATAATAAGCGCACACTGGGATTACTCGCTCGCATTCTGTTCCCAGGGGCATGATCCCTGGGTTCTGGCACCACCGCGTCGTATATATAAACTCTCATGTAGCTAGTTCTCGGTACGACCCTCTTGACTTTCTCTCTTCCTCTCTATCTTTCTCACTTGTACCCGTAAAACCCGACAACCGAGCTCTGGTGAATACCCGTTGAGCGCGAAAAACTCCGCTTTTGATTATTATTATCGTGTGAATCTAGGAGTAATTATTTCCGTTGGTGGTAAATGTTTCCTGTGTCGCATTAATTCATCCATATCTGTATAGATAGAGTGTGCACGGATACAGGTTTGAATTTGGACTAATGTACATTGTACATGCGTTTACCAACCCCTCTACAACTCTCTTCCACATCCCCCTGTCATTTCTTAGGCCACTTTGTGTACAATCCACTTGGGGCACACTCGCCGGCGAAAACAAATTCCACTCCAACTTTTCTACCCTCACCAAGCGAGATTGATAAGGCGAGTTTAATGACTCGCAGCACAGGGGGAGGCCAAATGGAGCAATTTTATTATACTTCAACATTTCAAAATGAGAGATTGTCTTTTTTAAAATCCATCTGTAACAGCCTCATAGGGCTCTTTAAACCGCATGCATAAATTTGTGTGCTAATGGTATCTGTTTTGGGAATGCGAGGGAGAGAGCGGCGGCTGTGGGTACAGAAATAACATTCGAATTGCGAATTGTGGTAGGTCAAATCCTACTGTTTACACATTCAAATGGCTTCATATCTCCACACTCCCCTGCAATTCTGTCGGAAAAAGCTAAACTACCAAGTTTTCCAGAGGCATCTGTTTGGAAATGAGAATTCGCATTATAATGCATGACTTGACAATCAATCCAGCGCTTTAATCGTGCAAACTGTCCTCTCCCCCCTCTAAACGTCAACTGCAGCAGTTATAGCGTTAAATCTGTGCACCTCGGCGTCTGCTCTTTGCCGAATGAATTTCAACCGAATATTTTAGTAAATGCTATCTGAAATATTCAAAATTTCGTTTGGCTGTGTGCGTCGATCTTCTGAGAAATATATATAGAAATGAATTCCGTGAAAATGCTCCGGCCGTGAGGATCAAATATATCGCTGATGTCTGGTTTCAGTGGCAGGCTTTTTTTATCCTCCAACAATTTACTCCATTCCACCAGGTGACGAATTGTTTGCACAGAGGTGTATACTTTTTTCCTTCATCATTGTTTTTTTTCAACATCGATTACACGGATATATCGTGATAGCATAGATAGACTGTATTGAGGTGAGTGTAACTTACCATTCACACAAAGTGCCAGAAAAATCTGTACGAGGACTAGGTGAATAATTGAGGTGGCCATTCTATACTTCTCAGCAACCACTGAAGCTGAATGAGAGAGTCACAATGGTTGCTCTCGTCTTTCAAAGAAAAGCACAATTAAATAGCTGTATGATCCTCCTGAGATGAAAAACACAGGGGACTAGGATACTTCTCCACAAAACATGTGGCTCGATGGGGTGGGGATTGAGAATACTCGGGAGAAATTCAATTAACCCTGATGTACTTCACAATTTAATTCACACAAAACTAGCAATTGATAAGATTCATCGAACATTTGAAAATGAAATTAGGATGCGATACACGTTGGCACTGATGCAATTTCACTAAACAAATTTCTTCGTACCAAAATAAATCCAAGAAACTGGGTAAAATTAACTGATAAATAAATATTTCCTCAGAACGACAGTGATAACTTGAATCATATTATTTGAAAAATGCTAATCGTGCAGTGAATGATAATAGTCTTCGTGAAAGTGTTCGCTGACGGGTGTATATTTAGCATGGATTTACACATGCAGAGTGGTGCAAAGCGACCAGTCGGGGTATAGACCCGCGGGCGACTGACTGACACGGCGAACGTTGAAAGTGCGCTTGCCTCCCCGAAACTGTAAGGTTCGGTAATATTGCCGGCGCGCACCTGTCGTACCGTGGGTCGCTGCGCATGCTTCCGTGGCACACGCAACTGTATCTATCCCTCTGTCTCCCTCGTCCTTGCCAGCAGAATTGAGTTTAGAATGAAATAAAAAAGAAGAAAGAAAGAAATTAAAAAGAGGGAAAAAGAGGAGAGAGGAAGGTGGAATAAAGGGAGGCAAACTTGGGTTGTGCCTATAGCCAATATCACGCAAGTATATTAAAGTAACATAGTAGTTTCCGTGAAAGAGCGAGGAAAAGCCGTGGGTACGTGGATTATCAAAGGAATCCTTGGGGGGATTTTATTCGATAGCCTTTGCACCTCATGAAATGTTATAGAGCACAAAGAGCATCTTGAATGAGATTAAACGGATGAATGACAGAAATGATATAATAAAGAAAACATTTATTTTACTAATAAAAGATGATGACTCTGAACAGCAAGTACGTAAACCAATAGAAGTCCTTGTTGTAACGCTTGTAAGTGAGGTGGAAAGACTACCTTGTTAACCACCTGATTCGAGTAGGACGAAGGGGAATGCTCCCCTGAATGGGGCTTGTGCGCTGAAACGAGTCCGCTCAAGTGATACGTATGTATACAGTGTGCATGAAGAGAGAGAGAGAGATTTGCAAATCCTGTGCTTTCCACTGGCTGTGTAGATACATTCAGCATTGTTCCTGGTATTTCCTCGTTCATGATAGTAGGTACTTCAGCTTTTTCTATTATACACATCCACTGCAGAGTATTATCCCTTTTCACTCAAGTTGAATTAATTAACGGTCCAGTGAAAAGGAATATCGATTGATTAATTTCAATTCACTTTGATGATACAAAGTATAAGGGGAAGGTAATGATAATCAAATAGGATTGGGTGGAGAGTAGAGGATGAACGATAAACTTGAGTATCTTCGCTCTATACTCAGACATACTTCTCTGGTATTTCTACTCATTCTCCTCCTCCCTCTTGCCCTCTTTACCTCGTCGTTTGCCCCATCCAACCATTGCTGGATTCGACTCGAAAGCTCTCTCTTTTCCAAGGAAACTCCGTCAACTTCGAAATGAACCTCGTGCTACGGAACTTTTGGAGGTGAATAGTATTCAGTGGAGGGACCAAGGCGAATGAGAGCATACTACCGAGAACTGCAGTACACTATCCGTGAAGCTGTAGCTGTGCAGACGATACCTACCATAAGCAATGGGAGGTAAGACCTGGCGAGGGTAAACGGAGGGTGCGAGGGGGAGTTTTAGGGAAACAGAGAGTTGAGATCGCAAAAGCCCATGTGCGGGCTTCCACGCAGCTCAACTTAAAACTATCGTTGTTGCATCCCTCTGCTTCCCCCCCCCCTGGTGTATACCCTTCTAGCATCTGCACCCTTCGGTTTTCCACCCTTGAACGTATTACCTCAGCGTTTATTTACGGTAATTATCAAACGGAGCGTAAATCCAAACGTTAAGCTATGGCTCCGGGGAAAATGCAAAGTTTGTATTTTTTCGGGTTGTTTGTTTATGCGATTTTGGAGGATTATTATTTGTATTATTTGGTATTGCAGGTTGAATTCACAATTTATGGGGGGGGGGGAAATCGATGGGGAGATGAGTATGCATTAGTCATGGAGTAAGCGGAGAACTTCTATCCCGCTTGGTGGAAGAATATTTTTCGATCTATATTTATTTATCCACCATAAGTTAGGGGGTGTAGTGGTGTGCGTCTGTGCATTTTATGCATATCTGGAATTTTGCCTGAAGCTGAATGGAGGAAAAGTGACATGAAAGATATGCGGCAACTGATATATTTGTTTTACCGTAACATCTCTGTACATGTTGTGTATCTCTGTTGCTCCTTCTGTTGAGGCTGTCTGGATGCAGCTCGAGAATCACCGAATGCCTGTGCAAGCATAAACTCGGAAAGGCATGAATCCGTTGGGAAATGTGGCACAGATCGGGTGCAGAGACGAGTGACATAATTATGAACAACGATTGAGTCATCGGAGTTGAACAATTCTTCACCTTCGGTCGCAAGTTAGGGGATATTTTCGTTGAGAGTTGAGACTAGGTCACTGTTATATAAAAACGTATATTCAATTCTGGGATAAGACGGCAAAGTGAAGGAAAAAAGGGCTGAAAACATCGGAAAATGCTTGAGAATCCCATTGAAACTTATTGAGAATTGGTAAGTAGAATGAATCAACGATCCTGATCGTCAGTTTGTTTCTCCGTTTGCTTCCAATAGAGAGTGAATTCCGAACAGACGAAAAGTTTTGCATTTCAAACTACCTCTGAAACTGGTAAGCAGCTTAGAAAGAATCGGGCCACGGAAGCGGGCGCACACTCAGCCGCAGGATTTTCCACAGGATGAACACTAGACTAAAGGCTCTCGGAAATACCGAAGAAACCGGAAGTACAAGTACGTTGAGTGTACGATAGTAGCCAGTGGAAGAAATAAAGCATCGGAGAGAGTGGCCATTTGCTAGTAACAAGTAAGAACTTGATACAGATGTATAACCCTTAGTGCGAGGATTCTTAATACCCTACGGGGGATTTGTCCTCCAATTAATTCATGATACTCGGCGAGGTATAATTAATAACCACTACGAGAGGTTTATTTTTTTGTACGCAGACTGTTGACACACTTTGATCATACCTTATTCTCTTCTTTGTAATATCGTTTAAATCATCTATTCGCTGAATCTCATGCCGCAGAAATCGGGAGTACAAGCACACTGAGAGTACGATCGTAGCCAGTGGAAGGAATAAAGTATTGGTAAGAGTGGCCATTTACGAGTCGCAATCAAGAATATGAGACAGACGAGTGAGCTAGGAACCCCGTAAGGAAAGAATTCTTAATACACAGGGAATTGATTATCCCTCCGATTAATCCATCACAGATGAAGAAAATTCTGTAGTCGACATTGGTGGAGAAATCTTTACATATGAGGACGTCCACATGAAAAGGGACCACTTTATCGATTCTAGTTCCCGAGATATTCACGATTATGTGTCACCAGCTCCGATCTGCACCAATGTTAAATTGTTTTTCCCATCTTCTCCAACGACGTTATTTTTGGCCCTATGAAGATCACTTTGGGCTCAAAATGTGCGGAATTTTATCAATATTATCAGAGTATACATAACACCATATCGACAAAGTGGTCCCATTTCATGCGGAAGTCCACATATATTCTGAAAGTAACCATTGAATTATCATCAATCAAAGATAAATTACTAATTAGATTAATTAGGACTTTACCTAATGAGATGTGATTACGTATCACATCTCATCGGAGACGAACTCGGGTGAGGCTCTAGCATTTTGCCGAGCCGAATTTCTAGTCGGAACATTGCGTATTCGATCCTGGGCATATGTTATGTCCCGATGGACTGCTGGAGGAAATTTAATCTCAATTTTCTTGAACGGGTTTTGTAAGAACGGCCTCTAGGTTACCGCATTTCGGGTGCAGGACTATAGTCTCGTGATGAGAAAGGAGAATGAGCTACAATTACGTTGAGATTAGAACACAGAAAATGCTCAAATGTTACATCTGGGTACAAAATTTATTATTCCAATTACCAGACTTAGAAAATCATTTGTAATGTTATTAGCATTAAATATTTCTCCAATTCTCCAAATACAGCATCGAGACGATGAGTTGTATCACTGATCCGGACAACGCGGTCTGTCTCATTCATTGTTACATTCGTTCTGAGCCATTTTCATTTGTGAGGAACTTGATTGATATCATAATATATTTATGAATGTCAATCCGTATGCATAAGCTATTGTTCTCCGTTAATAATTATTGTCTAGAAGAATTTGAAAACGGTTATTGATGATATTTGACTTTATATCTAATCAACCCAAGCTTTTAAAACGCTGTGCAAACGTTTTATAAAATAAATGACACGATTCTCTCATATTTGATGATTAAATTTTCACTAAAATTAAAATATTAATTTGAATCACATTATATTAATCCGATAAAATTTTTCATCTCCAATTTTTATTCTTTGCAATTTTTTAAATGTGTTCTATCACAATGTGAGGATAGCAATTGAATTGATGGGTATTCTTTCATTATTTGAAAAAATATATCAATTTTAAAACTTTCCGGAGACATTGAAAAATCGAAATTTTTATTTCCTTGCGAATCGATCATCATTCCAACAAAAAGTATCAATACTCTCATTATTTATCATAAATATCTCTTCATTTGAAAATGAGAAAAACGATTCCCACAATTTGTATACTACAATGGGAATAAAAATCCAATAAATGTAATTTAATCTAACCGCAAAGAAAAATTGGAAAGAAAACAATACAATAAATTAGTATAATATAACATAATCTATAGCGACGGGCGCGAAGCGCTCGTTCGTTAGTTTAAATTAAATATTAATATTAAATATGTTGGGGTACTCATTTGTTTCCTCTCTTTTAAATAATAATTTAGGCTAATTGATGAATTTCGGACCGGATATTTCATTTTAAAACGAAATGCACAAACAATGATACGATGGAATCAATTATTTTCATTTCAACTGTTCCAAAACATTTTCGTTTATCCATGAACTTCTTCACGAAGCGTTCATTCGCCAAATGCTGGTTATAGTGAGATAAAAAATATCAAACTATGTCAATATTCATCGAAACTGGTGCGATATTGTGACTATTGAAATTCAATATCTTCCAAGAAAAACTTGGAAATTACTGGTCGTCAACAGTTTGAAAATGTTTCCATTCATAAGCAAAGTTTTCATACCCATTCCATAGAAAGCCTGGCACTTTGCCCGATCGCAGAAGCCTGATTAATACTTACGATTTCCACTTACACATTCCCACATGTTAATGGCCGCGGAATACTATTAAATGGTGAGAATGAATGAAACGTATTAAATTAGGGGGAGAATTATCCT